TACAAGGCAAAAGTTGTGCATGTCGGTGCTACCTGTAAGGGCCCAGATGTTTACAGAACCCCAGTTTTTTGTCTTCAAGGGAAGTGAACTTGTCCTCCTGGTGACCTCTGCACCTGACGTTTCAGAGTTCAACGGGGAGACACTGTGTAAGCAATGACATCATTGGCATGTAGGGTCCAGCGGGGAGAGAGACAGACAAACGGAGATACAGACAGGTGGGGTGAGGGAGAGAGAGAGAGAGAGAGGGGAGGGGGGAGAGGGAGTAAAAAAAAGAATGTGAGATAGAGGGATGGATGGAGAGAAAGAAATGTGAAGAAAGAGTTGGGAGAGAGAGAGAAAGAAAGAGCATGATGGAGAGAAGGAGAGAAAAACTGGCATACATATATAAAGATTGACGAAGGTAGACTGAATGAGAAAGACACTTTATTTTTTTTACACATGCAGATTTTTAAAAAAGTTGGCCTATATAACAGAAAAGTAGGGAGATTGACAGAAAAATGGATGAGATTGAAATTGACACTTAGCACAGGACATATAGAGGCAAAAAGAGATACAGAATAGGAATGAGAAAGATATAGAATGAAAAACATCGAGAGAGAGAGAGAGAGAGAGAGAGAGAGAGAGTGAAATGGAGGGGGGAAGGAAGAAAGAAGTACAGATACAAGGTGACCTAGTACTTGAGAGTGAGATCGAGGTAAAAAGGAGGAAGAAGGATTTGGGCACAACTGAGTGCAGAATAAATAAAAAATAACCCGAAGGAATGTCCAGAAGAAGAAAAAAGGTGAACCAATACTGACGTACACAGATGTGATATGAGAAAATATGTTTTTACAGCATTTATGCTATAGTGCAATAATGCAGATAGTCATAATGATAAGAGTTAAAGGCCGACTCTGTTGTAATGTTTTTCCTCAAATTTAAGCTGTTAAATATGTTCACAATATCTTACCAATTTATTGAAAATTGTATTCCTAGATTTCTATTCCTACATTTTTTTTTTGTCTCTTATAAAATTTGATGTCATTTGCAATTTATTGTTTTATGAAGGCTTTCTCCCAACAAGAAAAGAAATTATTATTATTACTTTTTTTTAATCAAACTTTTGAAAGGATGTTTTGAGAAATCAATATGCCGATAAGTGGGTATAGAAAGCAAGATTACATGGGCGGTGAACCTTATGAAATTTCTTTGAAATTACTCTTCAAGTTATGACAATCTTATTTACAGGAGTTATTAGTGCCATGTAAAACCATGGTACAAAACGATAGACTGACATGTACTTCTTTAGTTTTGAAGATGTCTTTGATTATAAAGAAATTTTCAAATACCGGTAGACAAATAAAGCTATTCTTCTTATTGAAAATCTACAAATATTTTATTTCTCCAGTTCTCATTGCGAACTGTTTGCAAAACTTCAGGGATGTGTATACTTGCAGACTGAGAAACATTTATCAACAATTAAATGACCTTTTTCAAATCCATTTCAAAAATATCAATTAGTACCCCTTAGATTAACAAATTTAATTTACAAAAAAGCTGCAAGTACCAAAGCAAAATTATTTTATTGTTCCATCAAGGTTCTTGTTTTGTTATGTAAAATTGGATTAACGTGGATTTTCAATTATACAAAAAAACTTCATCGGAAGGCATATGAATATTGTGTATTGAACTGAAGCCATATTGTCAATTTGGTTCGGCAGGGATTTCTTTATTCTGTATTTTGTGTGTTTTTTATTTTTTTTTTAAATAAGGAAAATGCTTACGTCATAATTACATGGGAGCTGTATAATCAGACAAGCAATCTCTGAAACCATTTTTGTGAACCAGATGTTATCGTCGATTGTTGTTTTTTTCTCATATTTTCCACCCTACAATGTATATGAAACAAAAGCATCTGGTTATTTCCTCAAAGTTTACAGTAAATAACAATATATTCTGTACTTTTTAATTTTATTTTGTGCCATCTCAGTTTAAGATGGAGTTAAGACTAAAAACTACAAAAGATATAAATTATAATTTGCAATTTTGCATTTATTTCATGTTATGTGTAGTGTGTCATGTGACTGATGTTTTTCTCCTTTTCTAATCATTTTTGTGCCTTTCCATATAATTGGTTTGTTTGTGGTTATGAAACTCATCAATCAGAGTAATTAACTTTCCTGTTATCAGTCCATCAGTGCAGCTTGTTTTTACACTTTTGAAATGATGTGCACAAATATTTGTGCTATGCAGAACTAGGTTAAGGTTTGCCGAAAGAGGGTGGGTTTTAATGGAAACGTGTTATCTTTTGGAATAAAGTGGTTTGTCTTTGGACGAAAATAAATATAGTTTCCCATTTATATGCTAATTAGGATTTTGAAACTAGTATTGATTTGAAAATGATACGGCAACTGAATCGCAGTCCTCATGACTTTTGCAAGATAATGTTTGTTTGTTATTTATTTTCCACGAAAAACACATTTCATCAAAAGGTAGTAGGGATAAAAATCACATCTTTGTGAGTGTAGTGTTTAGCATATCTTCAGAGATGACAGTGGAATAAACTAAAGTTACTTTTACTCTTCATCTCTAGGGGGCTTATAGTAATCACTTACGTCAATGAAAGTTTTTGTGTGTACAATCACTTCCTCACGTTGAATAATGAATTCTCCCCCCCCCCCCCCTCCCTCTTCTCTCTTGGAGAAAATGCATTTATTTGATCAGTTCCTGTTGATAAAATTACTTCACAGTTACGAGGAAATGAACGTTGATTCTGCATTTCGAAACAATTCCATTTTTCATTTATGTAAGGGTGATTCTATGCATAAAGGTATTTATTTCCTGGAATACCGTACCGTTACTAATAAAGTGCTGTATATAAAGAACAAAAACGCTGGGGAAAGAGAGATAGAGAGAGGTAGAGAGTGAGAGAATGAGAGGATTAAACGAAGCCAAAAAGATGTCCATGACATGTATTGCTCAACTGCAAACTGGCTGTACAAATGATTAACGTAAACAAAAGTTGCTTAATACAGAGTTCCCCAAAATTATGGGCCCTGTTTCATAAACCTTGTTATCAGTAGGGGCATTTACACTGTCATCCAAACTGTCATCCAAACACGCCAAAAAATGCCAAACCGCGATGTTACCAAGGGCAACTACGCTTTACCGGCAGAAATGCCAATTCCAAAACATTCCAAATCGAAGTGTGATCTTTTGGCATTTTTTGGCGTGTTTTGGCGTGTTTGGCAAGTATAAATGCTCGCAGTTGTAACATCGCGAAGTTAGGTGACGTAACTTCAGGAGCGGAGCTAGATGTCGTCCTTAAAGAAAATGATAGAACGATATATACAAAGAATAACATCAGAGAAGGTGATAGAAGGAAGAAACAAATAATAACATAAGTAAACACAGAAAGAGGGAGTGATAGAATGATAAAAAACAAAGAATAACATAAGAGAAGGTGATAGAAGGAAGAAACAAAGAATAAAATAAGGAAACACAGAAAGAGGGAGTGATAGAATGATAAAAAACAAAGAATAACATAAGAGAAGGTGATAAAAGGAATAAATAAAGAATAACATAAGGAAACACAGAAAGAGAAAGTGATAAAGAATAACATAAGAGAAGGTGATAGAAGGAAAAACAAAGAATAACAAGGAAGGATAGAAAGAGGAAAGTGTTTGCATAGGAGTGCTGCGCATGCGCATTACTAACTGAAACACGCCAAAACATCACTGAGCTTTTCAGTCGGTGATGTTTCCGCACAAGTGTAAACGGGTGCGCGAAACATCGCGACTTTTCAAAATGAGGTATTTGACAGTATAAATGCGCCTAATATGAATTTACAATAAGTGTTATAAGCTACTAAAGTAGTGGCTTCTGATTGGCTTAGAGGAGAGCATTTGTTATTGATAACCAGTTTTGTGAAACAGGGCCCTGTTCTTCACATCATCCAGAGTTTCCAGATTTTAAAGATAAACTTGAGTTCTGGTTAAAAAAAAAGAAAATCAATTCTCACAGAATCTAACGAAACTTACACTGAATGTTCAAGATTACAAATAAATGTCATGTGCCAAACAAGTTTGGAAGAAAATGTATACTGGCTGAGTAATGAGCATAGAAAGATAAGGAAATCAAGTAGTACTAGCCCCGACATAATTTGTGTTGTCCCATATACATCTTTCTGTGTAGTGGTCTTGTTAACTTACCAAGACTGAGCCAAATTTGTTATGATTTTGATGACTCCAGAACCTTGCAACACACCAATACTTACATGCTTCATGATCAACTTTTTCTGATGCATTCCACACCTTTTCTTTCACAATCAATCGCGTTACCAGAACTCACCTTTATCTTTAAGCCTTGAAATAGATACTGATCATTATAATAATCATACTAAACTGTTATACTGCATGATATTGTGTCTCTATTAAATTTCTTTCAAGTTTCTTTCAAGTTCCGAAGCATTTTGGAAATGATCATCCTTGCTTGATTTCCAGCAGCTGTAAATAACACAGTGCATATCGAGGAACAAATCCTACAGATTACCCATCACTACATGTGCACATGGGTTGAGAGAGGCAACTTATCACTAAATGCCTTGTCTCAAGACAGATGCACTAGGCAGGGGCTAGAAACGTCAACCTCTTTATTGCAAGTCAAGTGAATGAACGGTGTAACAAGCGATATTTGAACTACAATAAAAAAATTATTATTTTCACTATACCATTCTAGACTAGACTATATTAAACTTTACTACTTATAAAGGATTACCATGCCTTCAAGCTTTATAGCTTATGTAGCAATCCTTCTTTATGATTATCTTTTCGTTAGTATTAAAATGTAAGTGTTTTACGTTGATGATGTGTTCATTATATAATTTGTTTATGATCATGATCATGTTGTAATTAGTTTGTAATTTTGGAAAAAGACCATGAAGAAAAAAAAATCAAATCAAACGTTCTTCTTATTTGAGCCCTTTCTTCTCAAGTTCTAAATATAAATGTTCTTGTTTTCAGGTGAGTACATTAAGAACTGGAGACCAAGGTACTTCCAGCTGAAATCAAATGGTGACTTTGTCGGCTACAAGGATAAACCTAAAGGGAAAAGTGGTGATTCAGATGCCCTCAATAATTTCACTGTAGCACGTAAGTCATATCTCATTTTTTGTTTGTTTCTTTTGATACTATACTATACTATACTACAACTATGCCATGCCATACCATACCACACCATATTACACCACACCATACCACATCACACCACACCACTCCACACCACACCACACCTCACCACACACCACACCACATCACACCACCCCACACCACACACATCACCACACACCTCACCACACACCACACCACAGCTCACCACACACCACAGCTCACCACACACCACACCACATCACACCACCCCACACCACACACATCACCACACACTTCACCACACACCTCACCACACCACATCACACCACACCACAGCTCACCACACCACACACCATACCACACCACACCTCACCACACCACATCACACCAATTACAACACAGCACACCACATCACACCACGCTACCCCGCACCACACCACACACCACACCACCACCACACTAAACACCACACCACCCCACACCACCCCACACCACCCCACACCACCCCACACCACACCACACCTCACCATGCACTACACCACACCCACACCACACCACGCGACACCTCACCACACCACACCACACCACGCGACACCTCACCACACCACACCACACCACACCTCACCACACCACACCTTACCTCACCACACCACACCACACCATACCACACCATACCACACTATGATGTCATCTGTTCGGAGCCAGAAGAGCATTAACTCTGTACAAGAGAATGAGTTAGCACCCTTCTGCCCCCAAACAGATGAAATGAGAATTTGTTACTAAAAGAATGGGACATAATGTTTTGTTTTATCTTGCAACATCTCATTCTTCTGAATTTCATACGTTTCAGCAAATCCAGTTTTGAAATAATGTGTTCTGCTCCTTCGCAATGAACACATTTGTTCCCTAAAGAAAATTTAAAATGATTGTAGGTTACATCAACTTATGAAATTCATGCGAATTTTCCATGCGTTGGAATTGCCCATGTAATAAAAAAGAAAGCTGGTGGCATTTCCATCCGGGGGGGGGGGGGGGGGGGGGGGGGAATGGCACAGTAGTATTCAATGCCTGAACGACTAACAAACATGAATATTGTTACATTCTTGTGCAGCAAATATATCTTTCCATATGGACTGACATTTCAGAAATTCAGACGAAACCTTTTTTTTTTTGCTCCTTTTGAGCTGACGATTTTCTTGATTCTTTTGCAGAATGTCAGATCTTGAAGACAGAGAAACCAGCCCCCAACACATTCAAAGTTCGCTGCTTACAGTGGACCTCTTTCATAGAGAGAACGTTTTCGGTAGCTTCAAATGATGAAAGGTAAGAAAGAAAACTTTAAAGTACCCGTCCTACTAAATTAATGGTGCTCTTACAATGGCTCCCGGCTTTATTTGTCAAAATTGTTAAGGTCGCAATTTGATTTTAGATTACCCCGGTAGGTCTAAGGCTAGGGTCAAGATTAGGTTGTAGGTTATGTTTAGGGATAGGGTCACAATTAGATTTCAGGTTAGGTCTAGGGTTAGGGTCACAGTAGGCTTTCAGGTTAGGTACACGGTTAGGGTTTAAGGCCGAGAGTAAGAGATAGGTTTGGGTCCAGGATTGGAAGTTAGGAATGTCCAAAGTGGAAAAAAGAAGGGGTTAATAATACTTCTGATATATCTTGTACACTTTTTTAGAATTTTACCGAGTGACTTTCTAATTTGGTATTGTTTTTTTCATTCAAAAAGAATTGAGAATACTCATTTATTCATTTTCATTGTATTTGGGACATTGATGATGTTAATTTGTTTTTCACTAATATGAAGCAATCCTAATTGACCTTGATCCAATAATTTCTGGCGCCATATGTAATTATAGCAATTTCATCTTCCCTATAAACATTAAAAAAAACAGGAATTACTAGATATCAGTTAAGCAATACAAATTCAGTGTGCATTGAGCAGGAAGGTTACAGTAGGCAATCTGTAAACATGGCGTGCACTTAATTTGTTAATTCAGCTTCGACTTGTCTGTGCACAACACAGGTATTATTATCACGGACTAGACAAGGGAAACTGCATAATTTATGTCCAGATTGCATGGCATGTGAGCTATATTTGAAAACATGTTTATGGAAGTGTTGCCTCGGCGCATGGATTCGATGTAATTTTTCCAGGCAAATATTTGTTTGGTTGAGGTTGATCAAAGCACCCCGGCTACCATGTTCACTAATTATGTTCCTCTCGTTCACCGCGGCGAAGTGGGTACTAGGCTTTTAAGGTAACCCGATACATGGAAGAGCATTCCTTATATGGGCTGGAAGCTACGTGTTGTTCGTTGTTTTGCCTGATCAAAACAAGATTGTTGGGTTATTGTCGGTTGGTGTTAGATCCCTCAGATAAGGTTATTGTTTTCAACTCATCATAAACTCTTGTTTGTCAGCTGACCTGTACTGAGAAGTGAAGGTGTTTACAACATAACAATAGATTCATAGCCTATGCGCTGGATTACTTGACGAGTGCTGTGTCTCCTCTCTGCTTACGCTCACGTGTTGTTTAGTAGTTTCTTTTTATTTTAGTCATCATACTGCCTATGTTTTTGTGACCGTGAACTATTTTTAGGACCATGATGATGCCCATAGTTCGCGATCTCCAGCTTTGCAAACCTACGATATGGTTATTTCAAACCTCATAACAGGCTTCTATTTTCCATGACGTGGATGTGTAATGGGAAAACATATGTGATCAAAGAGGATTATCTGAAGAAAAAAAAAACTCTGGGAAATAGATCTTGCCTACAGATGGGAATAATGCACAGCAGTTGGTCAATACAACTTTTGCCCATATACATCGCTTGAAAAAACAATTTGAATTGCTATTTTTTGTTTGATATTGTGTGAACCGTCACCAAAGCCTGCTCGGATACATTGTACACATTGCTAGTCCAGGATCTGGTCCAGGGCTGAGAAGAGGCTCGGCTACGTTGTAGACATTGCTAGTCCAGGATCTGGTCCAGGACTTAGTAGAACAATGCTTGACAACGTAATCAAGAGTGCGTCACCGTACAAGCGCAAACGCTGCTGGTCAGCTAAACTTGTTGCTGCCATCAACCACTGGAATATTAAGTAAGCCAATAAAAAAAGCTCAGTTCAATCTGTCTGTATAGAAAACACTGTGTAGGGAGACGTAAAAGTCCATGTCGTACAGGTGACTTTTGAAGATGAAGTTGAATAGTAGTCTTGGAATTGCAATGTGGGATTGATATATAATGTTTAAAAAAAGGAACCCAATCTTGCTTAAGATTGCATGCGCTGCACACAGAAATGACTATTAGGGACTACACCTACAGATACTTAGATCAAACTTTGCAGCAATTGTCATGTTTTGAATTTCAGGGTATTAACGTTCATTTTCTTTAGGGGGACATGTCGACTATAATATTCTTGCAGACTGACGTACTAGAAATGAGAAAGCTCAAAAAAGATTTTAACCTTTACCCGAAATCCACCCTCTCATTAAAGACAGCTTCCATAATACATATTTTCTCGTTGAGAGAACTGTGTAAAAGGCTCTCTTCATCTTCATACATACATGTATGTGGCTGTATTAAAAATCTGATGTGTGATGTTGTCTACATTATGCATGCCCGTGTCAATATTGCAGTTATTTGTCGGGGAACATTTAATGTAGATGGCAATTGCACTTGACAAATGACTTCTACATTTAGTCAGAACGTCCCATTGCATGAAGCTTTTAACAACACATCTAGGAGATTAGAGTTTCTTTATTATACATGCTCATTTTTCATGTGTAGTTGTGTCAAACATAATTGTCTCTATACAAAAAATTAGAAAAAATGTGAAATATCCTGGCATTTTTCCAACATTGTACCATTTAAACAAAGAGAGAATTTTTTTTTTGGGGGGGGAAAAATGTTGTCTTTCATTTTTGCCTCTTGGTGGCATTCTACCTGTAGCTATTTTGGCTCCCTGTTTTGTAAGCTGTTTCTGATGGCCTTCACAGAGTGAGAAAAACAAGTACACCTGTGCCGTGTACTATTGATTTGTTTGGCCAATACACCAATCTAGGCTTCCAGTTTCCTGTAAATATGTCTCTCTCTCCCCCCCCCCCATTTAGACTAGCATATTTTTTATCTTATATTTTTAAAGAGTTTTATTTTTATTGATGATGTTGAGTGTGATATGCTTCCCATTTCTGAATCTTGTTGTACAGAGCTCAGTGAATATTGGCAAATCCTCTTATGCATGCAATTTACGTTTATTTACACATTTAAAAATAAAGTGTAGCTGCCTTTTTTGTGGCGGTTAATCTTGCCATATCAAGCCTTTACAGCTATAGCTTTTTTTTTGACCCCGCAATGCACGAAACTCACGAAAAATTTAAAAAAATTAAAATAACATTCTCGTGAAAATAGTGTTTTTACAATTACTGATATTCTTCAATTCCATCTATGTATGGTATTATTCCCAGTTACTGTCTAGTTTCTGACACTTGACATTTTTTCGCATGGCTAGTTTCGTATGGAAAAATGGAAAATAGACAAAAAGATATTTTCAGGCTGACGATTCAGAACAAAAGAGATGAAAAATATATTCAAAGATGAAAATACTGGTAGTCAAAAAGTCATTTTCTGTTCTGTTTTTTTAAATACTATTTTTCAACTCATTTCATTTTGAATACAGTTAGTACACAAAGCATTGTCTTTCGATGACTGTCTATTAAAGCATGACATTGCTTTTCAAAAATTATCTTTCAGTATGAACTTCATTTGTACTTCAAGCTCTGAATTCCATTTGTTTGTATTTCTGCATGAGTTAATAATTCAATCTGAATCCGATGACTGGGTAGTGATATGTAAAGGACTGCTAAAGACACGTCATCGATGTATTAAGCACTACCGGTATACATGTGTAAACCAAGAATGTTATTATTATTATTATTACAAAAATGCATACCATACATCAATAGAGATATACGTGTAATATCATTCTGAATGTTATTTGGTACATTACGGTGTACATTACTCAGCTAGTGCTTGATATTGCCTCTTGCAATGTCTACATTTGCCCTTTAATGTAAACTATAGATTGAAGTAATAAAAAAATGTATATGAGATACATCAAATTTTAACACACTGGGCATTTAGAGCAAGCTTTTACCATAGATCAAAAGCTCTTAGAACTAGCTTTGTGTTTTTTAAATGAATGAAATTAGATAATGAAACACAACTACATGTAGGAACAAAAGTGAATAAGATAAATAAAGACAACAAAATAGTGTTTTGAGTGTAACTCACAATTACTACAGTACATCTAGTAGAACTCTTATGAGCAAAAGAGATGTGTTTAATAGACCTGTTATCTTTTGCATTCAAATGATAACGAAACAACAAAGTAATGGTAGTAGTAATAACTCCAACAAAATTTGCTGTATCTGTAATAATCTGTTATCGTTATTGTTTGATAAGGAAGTGCATGGTATAGCAATATATGGACTATTATGGAGGGAGATAGAAACACATTCCAAGAAACACAATGATCATTTGACTACTTCTTTTGTTTATCATTCCAATTGGGGGAAACCCCTAGAGCTCTCCCATGCGTACAATTATCCATCATTCTCAAACTGGGTTTGTTGAGTTTATTAAAACATCTGTCCCCTTGAGTTTGATCAGCTTTCAGAAAGCAACCAGGAAGCAAGTCTTAATGCTGTTTTTGTTTGTAGGATTCTGAATATGGGGCAGGGCTTGGAGTCGGTTGTTATTTGTCATCTGTGTGTGTGTGTGTGTGTGCGTGCTATGTGGGTGTTTGTTGTATTTGTAAAGGTCAGTTTACATCTTTGTAGATCTTACTAGTTATGTTCACATAGGGCCTCTTAGTCTTGAACTTAAAGTTCTTGAAACGTCAAAGTTATAAACAATGATCCACTAACATCGACGAGGTGTTCACACAGGGCCGAAACTATTAGTTTTAACAACAAGCCAGGAAAGCATAGCATGACCTCAAGATGAATTATTGCATTTACATGGTATTTAACTTTGAGCGAGAACCCCCTCCCCTTTGCTCGTACTTATCGCGCTAACCTTAAGATAGCTCATCGTTTATAACTGCAGGTAAACTTCAAGTTTTGTAACCATGAGTGTGTCCACACAGTCCCTAACACTTAAAGTTTAAAACCACAACATAAACCTAGTGTCAATGGACTGTCGTGTGAACCTTACTATTGATGATGATAAATCTATGGAGGTAACTTCAGATTAGGGTCCCTATTTGCATTTTTTTTCTTCAAATAAATGTATTGACAAAGTAGAGTTATTGATTTCCCTGGAGGGAAGGGGGGGGGGGGTACTTTTACTTTAATGTGACCTTTACAATTGGTTGCCAATTGTGTTAGAAAAATTAACATCCTTTTGTAATCCTTTTTATCTGTTTGATTCTGGTTCAGACTTCTTGTAAGTAGTATTATTAAATGGTTATCTGTAAGGAATGTTTATCAGTGTTTTCAATTTTTGATTGATTATAAAATATATTCATATGTTTGTTTTAATGGAATATATTGTTTACAGTCTCTGTTTGTTTAAAGACAGCCACCATATGGTCCATATTCTTATCTAAAAAAAAAAAAATTGACTAAATATTTCAATTTATTATCACTAGTATGTATCGCTTTCATTCTTTTAATTGGATCAGTTTGGCATTTGACTTGTTTACAAAGTGGAAGTGTTTTTGTTTTTTTAGTGATGATGTTTCATGTTGGTTCTATATTTTCAGAAATTGCAATTATTGTTTACCGGGTATTTGTACAACTCTAAACAGTGCACAGAAATTTGATCAACAATTTAGCCATTCTGGTTTGAAATCACTGTAATCGTTTGGTCTTGAATTAAAAACAATGTCTTTTTCTCTCTCTTCATCCCCACCTGTTGCTATGGGTGTAGGGAATCATGGGTAAAAGCATTACAAGGAGTAACAGATTCATTGGTTTGATATCACTGTACCTAATTGTTTGGTCTTGAATTAAACAATGTCTTTTTCCTTTCTTCATCCCCACCTATTGCTATCCGTGTAGGGAATCTTGGGTAAAAGCATTACAAGGAGTAACAGATTCATTGACGAGGCAGGAGAGGGAGAAAGAGAACCAAGAGGCCAACGCAGCCAATGGAGGCAAGGAAGATAGCAACTCAGCGGCGAATGAGGCTTCAAAACATAAAGTTGTACGTATTTATCCCGTACTCAGGCATTTTTCCCCCTTTTAATTGAAATACTCACCGTAAATCTCCATGTATAACACGCACCCCTATTTTGGGGGCCGAGAAAAAAAATTGTTTTTTTTTTTTTTTTTTTTTTTTTTTTTTTAATATAATTTTTTGTTTAAAACCTGTGTTTAAGACGCACCCCCGACTTCATAATCTTCATTCAGTGGAAAAAAGGTGCGTCTTATATACGGATATTTACGGTACTTATATAGAAACATGGAACTATGTAAAGATTTGCTATTAGTAGCAATGGTTTAAATATGAGTGGTTTGATCACTTTGAATGTGAAAACTGAATCTTTAAAAGAAAGAGAGGGAAAAAAAACTAGCTGAAAGACACCAACATTTAATGCAGGTATGGGAGTCCATTCTCTGTTGTTTAGGACTACCAATTCAGTTACCAATTTACTTACTTAGGTTTTATCAGTTGCTTTTCAAATTTGTTTGTTAGGCATTGATTTGAACATAAGTAACGATGATATTTATCTTTCTTTCTGTCTTGTTTATGTTTTATCATTACGACAGCATACCACGCCATTTTGTAATGAGTCCATCAAAAAATTAGATCAAAACTTAATCTTGATTTTATCATTTCAGATCTTATGAATATTAATGAGTTCAAGATATGGCAACAATTGCTACTGATAACGATGTTTACATGCTGCATACTTTATCCTCTTTATAAGCTTGAAGGTTTTCGCTTACAGAAAACAATCTCTGTTGTTTACTATTGGGACGCGTGCTGTTGTAATGAGTCCATCAAAAATTAGATCAAAAATGAATCGTGATTTTATCATTTCAGATCTTATGAATATTAATGAGTTCAAGATATGGCAACACTTGCTACTGATAACGATGTTTACATGCTGCGTACTTTATCCTCTTTATGAGCTTGAAGGTTTTCGCTTACAGATTGGGACGCGTGCTGTTGTAATGAGTCCATCAAAAATTAGATCAAAAATGAATCGTGATTTTGTCATTTCAGATCTTATGAATATTAATGAGTTCAAGATATGGCAACACTTGCTACTGATAACGATGTTTACATGCTGCGTACTTTATCCTCTTTACAAGCTTGAAGGTTTTCGCTTACAGAAATGTTGTTTACTATTGGGACGTGTGTGGGCATTCACGTCATAGCTTTGTGATGTTGATGACGATAGTATCGTTTGTATATTTTTGTGAATTATGTCACATAGGATATCTTTTATTTCCTGATTTTATCCAATAATAACAAATTTTAATCCCTTAATGTGACCAATTATTAACGATAATGGTATCGGAAAGATCTGTTGGTCATATCCAAACATTTATCATGTTTGTCAATTTTCGATGAAATTAGTGAATAAAAGTCACCCTTTGATATAAACACGGCTGATGTTTCCCTTCTTGGCAGACAATGGACGATTTTGAGCTGCTGAAATGTCTAGGAAAAGGAACCTTTGGCAAGGTGATCCAGGTACGAGAGAAGAAGACAGGCGAACTGTTCGCCATCAAGGTTCTCAAGAAAGAAGTCATTGTTCAAAAGGTCAGTATCTGATGGCTCAGTGGTCTTGTAACCGAGAGGTCCTGGGTTCGAAACCAAGTCAATGCGCTTAGTCATGCCCTTTGGTAAGGCATTTATTCTCATTACCAAGTCCTTGGGAGAGGATTTACAGCCATCAGTCCCCTGGTTGTTAACTTACAAGCATATACAGGTACATGCTTTCTTAGCAGTCTGGTAAAAAACAAAATCATCATCATTATTATCATCATCAATTCTTCCCTAGTAGTAAACCAGTGAATGACGCAAAACATATATTCCAGGCTTTAATTCCTTAAAGATAAAAGTTTAAGGTGAGGATGCAGTTGGGGTTTTAGGTTACATTTAGGGTTAGGGTTAGGTGCAGTAGAGCTTTCTAAGAGTCTTACTTCTGTCCTTAGTAGTTTATCTACTTCTTTTCTTTTAACAAAGAACTATAAAATAATACCTGAGGTTTTTATGTTAGTTAATATACAAAGACACGATGATGGAAAGTTAATGTGGGCTAAAAATTAATTTTCAGAGAGGTGATTACTTGTGGAAGCTTTAAACAGTTACTTTGAGTTCAGGGTATAGAAGAAATTAAAATTCTGCATATTCAAATCGAACTGAGTTCATAATTGCAAGTGAAGAACAACTGTGTTTGGTTGAACATTTGTAATGGCTTAGAAATGAACAAAGAAAGATCAGAAAATCAGTCTAGTCATTGAGTCAAGCAATGGAACACACAGTGCTTTCGATGAGTGATATTTACAGCGACTCTCATGTTTGTTTATATTTTTGGTATCCAAACCATCGATGTACTGAATGATTAATTCCGAGTTGGTTTTAAGCCTTTTTCTCCTAAAGTGCGACGTCGTTAAAGCTTTAATAAGCATGGCATCAAGCAGCCCACATTTATTTATTTTTTTATAATCTTTTAAAAAATATTTATGAGAAATTCCCAAGCTGCTTTTCAAGGAATAAGAGTGCTGTCTGTGTAATAATCAGAGGCTTATGAATCCATTAGAAGGATGTACAGTTTTAATACTCTCTATAATTCTTTCCTCCATTTTAATAGTGTGCATTCCTGAGGCAGCTTCGGTTGTACGGTTGTTATAATCTACCATGAAATATGGTTGTTAAACCCAGACATATATCAAAATCAACATCATTTTTAAAGACATTTTTGTGCGTTTGAAATGGATGATGCCTTTGGATAAAACATTAAACTGGAATTTCAAAGATGTTAAATAGAATGGCCTCCACCCTATTCAAGTGTAAAACAAATATTAATATTGTGAACAGATTAAGTTTATTTCACATTGGTTGATGTTATTGCCATGAGCACAACATTTCAGCAGTTGTAAATGGAAAGTCTACATGACACATTGTGAAACTGTTGTGGCATGTCTTTGTAAACTTTAATGTTGGCAGTATTAGATATTTTTCATGAAACGGCTCTGTGAACAACTAAAGAATATATTTTGTTTCGGGAAGCTTATGAAATATGTATTCATGTTTCAAGCTATACTAAATTTTAAAATCTGTGCATCACCCCCCCCCCCCCCCCCTGACCCAATACATTTTCAAGTACCAGCGCATGTAGATTCTTTATGTTCACCTATATCTCTTTCTTTTTTTGTCTCAAAACCATTTATTTTTTAAGCTTACCAATTGTTTACAAATTAATTACCAATTATTTGTTTTATACAAATAGAATGTCACCATGTTTCGTTATGATTTTTATGGGATTTGTTTTGTTATAGTTTAGCAAACTTTGCAGATAGGCGCTGTCGTATAGCCAACCCCCAGCCTTGGTTTGCTTTCTTTAAAGTGCAATGTCATTTGAATATATCCCAGACATTTCCTTTCTAGAATTCACTTTCCATGTTTTCAGTTTATTGAATGACAATGACCCTAGGGGTATATACAGGTATTGATGTAATGGTCATTCAAAACCTCTTTCATAACATGATGATACATACATGTACAGTAGGCACCTGTCAAGGATTAAATGAGGAAGTTTTAAAGATCTATGGGAATGGGCTCTCATGGGGAATTCTGGAGTAATCTTACACTCAGACACTGTGTTATGGTCTTTTCCTAATAACAGGTGTTGTCAGGCTTAGCCTTTAGTTTTATGATTAGCAGGTCTTATGTAATGCTCTGCATTTTCCACCCATCCCCCCCCCCCATATGGTAAAGTCGTTTGGTTACATTTCCTTCACCCAAAGACTCTTGTAGAGACTAGGGGGTATTTCTTGAAAGGACCACAGGTTTGCTGTGCGCGAGACTTGCGCACCCATAAGTGGTATTACCACCAAGTCTTGTGCAGCAAATTACGATCTTCTGTACGTGGAAACTGATGACCATCTCCCTTTAAAATGAAGAAGTTATAAAGATCCTAGATACTGATATTCATGCTTTTTCTTTTTTTTGTCTGGAGGGAACTGTATTACGACATTACAAGAGCAGTGGCAGATCAAGCATTTTCTTCCAGGGGGGCAGGGTGAGGGGCACAAGTCAGAAAAATCCCTAAAAGCAGGGAGGTGGAAGGGGGGACATATCCCTTACTCCCGTGATCCACCACTAAACATACCCAAAGAGAACAGGTCTCCTTAAGCTGTTTTAGGTGGTCTGTTTAATACGGGTATGCCATACCCTTCCCTGTAATTGTTGTTGTTTTTGTCGGCAAGGACATTATCCTGTTCCTGGGAGATGACAAATTTCCTACAACTGTAGCCTAATCCCTGCAGGCACTTCAAAGTGCTTGAAGCGACTACCATTCTATGTACTTGATTACAATCACTCAGAAACTTATTATAAAAGGAATATTCATGCTCTCTGATTAATCTTGATGCACTATTGTGTCAGAAAATGAAAAGACTTCTTGTGATCTTGGTCAAGACATATTTCAACCATCGCTATCTAAACTAAAAGATATGACCTTTGTCAGAAAGGAGGACATATATGAATCACTCGCGTCATGAGCATATTGTTTGTCTTACCATCCTGTACCTAATGTATTGTGGTTGGATTCAACAACACTCTTTGGACAGCATTGCATCAGGTGCTGTTGCCTAAGACATGTTGCAATTATAATCAGTCACCAGAGTGTAGTCCTGATTATTACTTCAAGGCAGTCATCCTATGGGTACCTGGAAGGAATTAATTCTTTGAAATGCTAGAGCGCCGTAATGGCAACACAGCTAAAGCCGGGGTAATAATCTCCAAGTTTGGAAGCGCCTAGTGATTGTAATAAGTGCTATATAAAAAACTAAGTATCATTATTATTATTATTATTAGTTACAGTTATACAGTCAAGCCTGCATACTAAGGCCACCCAAGAGAAACACAAATAGTGGCCACCTTAGACAGACCTTTCTAGACAGGTTCTTCCATACACATTGGATGACTACCATAGAGAGGTGGCCTTTAAAGAGAGGTGGCCACTTTGGCAGGATTGACTGTAGTTCACTACCAAAGGGTAGGGTTTGATTCAATACCCTATCTCCCCCAGCCCACCAAACTCCCAACCCTACCCCAACTCTCTCTCTCTCTCTCAAAGAAAAAAACCCCAGGGCTGTTATTTCTGGCGTGGCTCGATCTTACAGACATGGGATTCCCTGGCCTGTATGACAAGTGTGGTACGAACCAAGGAGACACCCTACTAAATGAGTCCCTTCCGCTCTCAAATTGGACGCACTCTCTCAGTATTTCCTGTTTACCAGTAGGCCCGACTTCCCTCGTGCCTCAGCCTTTTCTTCCTTTAGTATTCTAATCTCCTTCTCTTTTCTTTTCTCTCTCTTTTTTAAATCACAGGATGAAGTAGCGCACACATTGACGGAGAACAGAGTGTTACAAAAGACGAGTCACCCCTTTTTAACGGTTAGTATCTCTGCATGATTTCCAGCTTTCCTTCTCATTGCAACACAGCTATCAGAATGTTGTTTAGAGGACTTGGTCTGTTGGAATAAAAATACCGGTAGATGGAAACAAAATCAAACAGCAAGAACTGTTGGCAGATGAAAATAAATAGCATATTATTACATATGAAATGGAGATATAGTTGATTGTAAAGAATACAATGATTTTAAAGTGGTTGATCCATTAGACACCAAGAAGGAAATCACAGGGGTCTATGAAAAACAAATTTTACACCAAATCGATTGGTAGTCTAAAGGTTAAGACAATTCAGTCAAAACAGCAGCTCAGTAGGTTTAATGATTCAAGTCATTGTATTATTTACAGTCATTTATGTTGTCTGTTCAGAGCAGAAAGGACGTTGACTCTGTGTGAAGCTTTTCTGGCTATGAACAGACGGGTGTAGTAATCCTGTCAAAAGTCTTCCGGCACCTTGATGATTGCGTTAACACCTTGGTCATGCAAACGTTTCCCTTTAAATGGACGTTTCCCCTTCTCTGCAACCACTAAGAATACACGTGGGGATGAAGTGGGCATGACTCACCATATGGCATGTGTCATTGAAAAACAACAAGGTTGAGACACACACTCCCAATCTGATCTCCTGCACAAAGAAAGACCTTAGAACCTTGATGATGAAAATACATTTTCAATATTTAACTATTTTAGGGGAGGAAAGTAAGCTCTTTCTAGCTGTGAATTTTGTAATGATTTTTCTTTATATAGGATGTGTAAAATGTCAGTTGGCCTTCTACCATTCTCACCCGCCAATCTTCTTGGGTTTTTTTTTGTCAAATCATACTATCTATATATACTATCTGACACAGTTGTAATGTTAGTTGATGAACTTTTAGTATCCAGTTTACTGTGCATAAGTCAAATATGTTGGGACTGCAAAAGAAAATATCTTGATTTATGCAAAATTCAAGTTAGGAAGCGTAAATAATTTGCATAGTTTAGTACAAAATATGTATATGACTTCTACTTCTACGACGATACTCAGCAGGATCCATAAGTCAGGATGTAGTGCTGAGGAACTTGTCAGTTGTGTAACTTCAAGTTATGCAAAGTTAACTGAATTTTACAAGTACCCTGTGGGATGGTAGCTTCATAGTCTATAAACACAGACTCTGATTTGAAACTTTCAGAAATGAGTGTAGTCTTACAGTCAGACACTGTTATTCATTCTCACTGACAAGGGCTTGTGCATTTCAAACTTTTTTCTTTTGTTTCCTTGAAATAAATTACAAACCTTTAGAAAGTGTAAAGAAGTATTTTATTGATTTTTGGGACTCTGTAAAAGTCATGGGGAAAGTAAAACTATTATGGGAATATTGTTAGCCTTTCATCAAACATTGGTCGAATCCGTCGCGAGTCATGATTGCAGACAGTTGAAAGAACTGGCCCCACATGGCAGGAGATTCCGCTTTTTTATTATGAGTGAAGTCCTATGATATCCTGACACCTTTGATTTTACTGTTCACATTGCCCTAAATAATTTTGTCTACTGGGACAGGTTAAAGATGTTATCTAGAGTTGATGCAAATTTCTTATTGAAACTGAATCAAAGTTGGATTGTACAGGGTGTGATTAGCTTTGTGATGAATAAGACTGATTCAAGTTCAACGTTTCTATCTTATCTTTTCCGTCTAGTCCCTCAAGTATTCGTTTCAGACGTCAGATCGACTCTGCTTTGTGATGGAGTACGTGAATGGAGGTGAGCTCTTCTTCCATTTATCACGAGAGAGGATCTTCACGGAGGAGAGGACACGGTTCTACGGCGCAGAGATCGTCTCCGCACTCAGCTATCTTCACGCACAGGATGTCATCTATAGAGATCTCAAGGTAAAACAAAAACAATGGCATCGTACAGACAATCACAAAAGCTTGAGTATAAAGATGCTCATGCGTGGGTATATAGTCTTTCATGAAGTAGGCAACTTGGTGATCACTACATAGCACTGAGCCAATGGGTATTACGCTCCTGTGCGTACGTCTGTGTGCTGCCCTCTATATACCCATGCATTGAGCAACTTTAAGGGGTGAAATATTGGATAAAATTTGAGAAATGCGTCAGTGAAATTTGGAAAGAAGTTTGACGTTATCAAATGTTGAAGATCCTTACTCTCTATTTGTTTGACAGGAGTACATTCGTTAAAAAAACATACCCTTCTCTTTGAGTTTTGATAAAGGTTATAGTTGTTTTATAGAGGGAGACTCAACAAAAATATTTCCCAGTGTTGAATAATACCAAAGTTCGTTAACACGCCATAGATACCTTTTCCTTCCCCCCCCCCCCCCCACTTCTGTACTAGAAAATTCTAGAACAATGAAACTTTATCAAACATAGTATAAATATTTTGTATCGCTTTATGCAGTATAATGCTCTATGCAACTATAAGGGGATTTGCTGTTTTTGTTTATGATGTTTAAGTTTATATTGTTTAAATTGAAAAAGATTTAGATGCAATCGTGTACATCATCCTGATTGCTTTATCAGCTAAGAAGATGAAAAACCTGCTCCATTGTTGCGTCCTGTCTATATAAGAATATTTTTTTAAAGCAATTCGATCTTTCCTGCAACCAGGTAACAGGCGCCCCATATTTTGGAAACTGAGAAAAAAATAATGTTTTGTAACAGGTACATTTTGGGCAATTCATTGATTATTTTTAGCTCTTTTGTTGTAGTTATGCAGCAGCTATTCCCTATTGAGATGTAAATGAATGCAAGTTTAATGCCTTTGGGTAGATTAGGGCCTTTGGGTAGATTAGAGAAGATTTTGAGATTCTGAGAAATGGTTTATTCAATTACATTTGCATTAAATTAGATATGTGTATGTGTCTAATAATAAACATTATTTGAGCCCATCTTTGTAGCACTGTCGTAATGAATATATCAAAGCAGAATTTAATTTAAAGAATAAGCATACTGTTTATTGTGTCCCTTCAATAACGGTAATATCATCTTAAAACAGTTGTTAGGCTATTTTCATCGATAAAATAAACTACATTCTCAAAAAAGGGAAAAATAATTATCTGTAGTAATTGCTTTCCTTGCATTTCACTGATCAGTTTGTAGAGCTGAGGATAACAATCTTGTGTTAATTACTTTTCTTTACAATTCCCTTAGAACCTGACATTCTAGTGCCACTTGTTTACTTGAAATGTAGTTCGTTGAGAAACAAAGTTATTTATACTTAGCACAGGCCAGATGGTTCTTAACCCTTGACCTTATGAAAATAGTAGACTTGTGAGACAAATGACATCTGAAAATGGCAGAGAATTTTTATGTTAAAGGTACTGATTAATTCCGGGAAAAAAGCCGTTCAGAGATTAAAATGTACCAATCATCAAAACATGTTTAGTTCATGATGTAAAGAGGTTCCTTGTCGCTATGCTTGAGAGGGAGCTTTACAACATAAAGAGTTTATTATTTACAATTTCATAACTTTAGACTCAATTTTAACCACAACAAAGATTACTGAATATTGTAGGATTGCACATGCTTCCAATATGTTCATTTGAACCAAATTCATGACCCCATATCAATCAAAACTTTGTATTACCTGTAGACTGCCATGTCAGTTTTTGTGGTTCAATTTATCATTGATTAAAATCATGAAAAAAATAAGATTTTTTTTTAAAAACTTTACAAAACATTACAAACTTAAAAAAATTCATAGATAATCTATTTTTACATATACATGTATATACATTTGATGCTACTTTCATAAAAATATTGAAACATTTGACATTGCCTTTAATCTCATCAAATATTACGGATGTAACAAGGATATTGAGAATTAAAACGGTGGAGAAGTTTATTGTAATGATGATTGAGATAAAGGAGGCAGTCATTTTTTATTCTTGATTAATACTTCATTCTTCTGAAAGAGCAACATTTCTCTCGACAACAGATTGGTTATATTTATAGTTGTTGAAAGGTCTTTCAGAACTATGGAAATTCATTACGACTCGTAAGTGACTAGCGCCTTGTGAAACTAAAACCAGATTTAATTTAGATTGATTTTCAATAATGCTTGAATGACATTTTTTAGGACCAAGTCAATAGAGAAAATTTGTAGTTGTCATTAGAATAAGGTTGTATTTTTTTTTAACAGAAAGAAAAAGTATGTATAGTGAAATAAACCAACATCAATTAAGACGGTGTTTACTTCAACAGTTATTATTAAACACCTCAACTTCTGCAATTTTTATTTTGAAATTCAAAAGAAAGAAACTGAGAAGATGGGTAGTCCAACAATCATCAATTTTTTTCTCTCACATGGTTTTTTGCTTGCATTAGATGATTGAAATGATATATGACCAAATATGCAGGTATATAAAATATGGTATTTGTTCACAATTTTTAGCAAGTATCCTATTGGCTGAAAAGATGTCACGTGACACTCAACAATTTTTTATATGTGCACGAGCGTGCAACATAACAACTTGTTTGCATGGGAAAAAGTGTACAAATATGAACTAGACTGTACACCTCTCTTCCCCATGCGTTCCCATTGTTTGCATCGTCTTAGCTACGTGCATCTGACGCGAAGGCAACCTTAATGTAATTGAGAGGGCCCGACTCAAATTGGTTGCAAATATCCTCAATTTTATAAAACAAATATTACATGCATTTTTTTTCTCAATAATTTCATGTACTCCGCTTTATGCCATTATTTTTTAACCTCGGACTGCGGTCTCGGTGAAATATAATATCACTCTGGAAATTCTGAATTTGTTATTTCATACATGTATATTTTGTTATGTTGAACACAAGAGCATGCAATATTTGTGTAATGTTTATGTCTTCTCTTGTTGTGATACCACCCAAGTAAAACAGTCTGTTTAGCTTTAAAAACCATGGCAACAATTTTGTTTATCTTTAATTCCAGCTGGAGAATCTGTTGGTAGATGAAGAAGGACATATTAAGATCACAGACTTTGGGCTCTGTAAAGAAAACATCTCCTATGGTGACATGACGAAGACCTTCTGTGGAACACCGGAATATCTAGCACCCGAAGTAAGTCCTCAAGTTAGTTCCTTTAATCTCCCAAGTTTTGAAAATGAAAGAGAAAATGATAATGATCACAGTCAGATTTTGAAAATGAAATTGGATTTATTGCAAGCAGGAAGGAGACACATTAAACTTAAAGACACTTCTTGGCACCCCCGCCCCACAATCCATAGCAATAATTATATTGTAGATGTCACTTATTTTCGCACTACTAAAATCAGCTATAGAACCCAAAATCTCTAGTCCATTTATTGATCATTATTTTGGATTGACCATGTAACATCACAATGCTTATCAGCAGTAAGTATTTTGCCTGAAAGTCAGCTTGCTTAAGTTAAATGCTCAGATGTAATCTGTTAAGATGAGTCAAGAGACATTGCTTTTTAATAAGCCAAGCAAAATGGTTAGCAAAATGCTGACTTGAGTACGGCTGTGGGTAATGTGTGTTGGACGTAGATTCAAACCACAGCTCTGATTGAACCCTCACTCTGAGAAGATTCAAAGACCTCACTGTCATCGCTTCCTGCTTCCATTTTCAGATCCTTGAGGACAACGACTACGGGAGGGCGGTAGACTGGTGGGGTACAGGCGTGGTCATGTACGAGATGATGTGCGGTCGGCTACCATTCTACAGCAGGGACCATGAGGTTCTCTTTGATCTGATCCTGACGGAGAACGTCAAGTTTCCGACCAGACTGTCCAACGAAGCCAAGTCTCTCCTGAGTGGATTACTGGAGAAGAATCCTAAGAAGAGGTAGGACAGTTCAAATTCATTTCAAATTTATTCCAAATTCATTTACGTCACATGATAAAGATGAGCTGTTTGCCACATTCAATTGAAGAAAACAAAAATTGATCATTTCAAATTCATATTCATTTCATATTCAAATTCATTTATTCCACATGATAAAGATGAGCTGTTTGCCACATTCAATTGAAGAAAATGAAAATTAATCATTTATTCTTTACGTGTCGTTTTATTACTTTAATGCCTTTTCAGCTGTTGATATATGTGAATGCAACCTTCTAAATGTCAAATCAGTATTTCAAAAGTGCTAATGACCTGAAGAAGAATAAAAGAAAAGAGAGAAAACTATTGATCTTGATAATACTGTTTTTTTTTTTTAATCAGCCATTCATTACTTTCTCCTGTTCTAATTTCTTCTTCAATTTCTTTGTTGTACAGGTTAGGATGTGGGCCTGATGATGCCAAAGAAATCATGAGACATCCATTCTTTGCTACAATCAACTGGGAAGACCTCTATGAGAGAAAGGTGGGTATTTGCCACACTCCACCCAGGTGAAGTAAATGGGTACCTGGTAGGAATTTATTCCTTGAAATGCTAGAGCGCCGTGCTAAAGCCAGGGTAATAATTGGGAGCGCCAGGAGGGTCAAATCTGACTGACATGAGCGCTATACAAGAACCCACTATTATTATTATTATTATTATTGTTATTATTATTTGCACACAACTCGGTAAAGGCTCAGTCAGATATGGTGCAGTAGGCACCCTGACATTAAACAATTTTTTGTTTTGTTTTGTTTTTTGAACGGTTATATGAAGAGTAACTGCGTGCCACAAAGGTCCCAAGCATTTCTGTAGATACTGCAGATGTGTGTTATTATAGATACAGAAACGTGAAGCATTGTACAACGTATTACCTCATCTTTGAAAATAAGAACGTTGTAGTTTACCCCCGCGCAACTGAACATGGCTTAAAGGTAATACAAAGTTTTGGGAAATATTAAAAGTTGGGTAGATAGTGATTCTTTATAATTTTGATATATTTGGATGCCCTTGTGGATGTATTACAAGCACTTGAAAATTTAGCCCCTAAAATACTTCTGCTTTTGAGAAAAATTTCAAATAGCGCCTACGGCCGTACAATGGTAGCTGCGACCATGAAGATCTCAGAATATGTAGTTGTGATATATAATTTCCAAACGGGAATAGCTAATTGGTCGATTTTAGTCGAGAAACATTGATTTATAGCTTAATTAATATCTCGACCTTGAGAGGGAGCTATACCACATAAAGAGTTTATTATTTACAATTTCATCAGTTTAGACTCGATTTCAACCGCGACAACGATCACTAATATTGTAGGATCGCATATGCTTCCAATATCTTCATTTGAACCAAATTCATGACCCCACACCAAAACTTTGTATTACCTTTAATGCAACTGGACTTGTTTATGTATGAGATTATCTGTAGGGTTGGAGCACCATTGTCTGCCAACGCACGTTCATGTAACTGCATATTCCTGAAAAGGAAAATGGGTGAACCTGAAATAGTAGTCATTACCATTGCGATATATGTTGATGCAAAAACAAGTCAAAGCCACTGAGATAAGATCCGATTTTAGACATTTCATTTGTGAGCTTTGGAATTTCATCATAATCTATCTATCAAGGTATTTTATCCTAGTTTGGGGGTTGATTGCAACATATTTCCACACATCTTTGTTTTTCTGCCGTCCTAGTAATCTTGATAGGAAAACAAAAATATGTGCAAAATGACTGACTCTGCATTATCAAAATAAAATCTTGTGGAAATTTGCTGGTTCTTGTTCAAATCTGATATTATTTTTGGTACATTTAATCTCTAGATCATATGTTACATATATATGAAAGAACTCAGGGTACATTTGTCACATCTCTCTTGTTTAACATGTGATAATACAAATTATTTAGGAGCCCTAAAACATACAGTCCGTACCGCGTACAAATCACAGAAATTGAAGAGAAACATAAAATACATAGACTCATAATAATAATAATAATAATCCGTTTTTTTATATAGCGCTTAATACACCGATCCAACGATGTGCCTAAGCGCTTTACAGATATATGAGGATACATGTAGGTCAATAACATTATATTACTGAGGAAAGGAGTATATTTTGTGGGATCTTTTGAAAGTAGCAAGACAGGTTAATTCTCTGATGGATTTTGTTCCACGTTTTGGAAGCAGCCACTGTGGATGAGAGGCTGGCTTTGAGAATAATTAGATGTTGTATTTTTTTGTTTTTCAATTTTCAGGTGCGCCCTCCCTTCTTACCTAAAGTGGAAAATGAGACAGACACAAGATATTTTGATCAAGAATTCACATTAGAGCCTGTACGGCTTACTCCACCAGCAGCAGGCAAGGGTAAGTCATGAAGGGGATGATGTTGGTGGTGATAATGATGATGATGATAGTGGTGGTGGTGGTGGTGCTGCTGATGATGATGTTGATGGTAATGATGATTAACGGTGGTGGTGGTGTGATGATGTTGGTGGTGATAATAATGATGATGATGGTGGTGGTGGTTCTGATGAGGATGGTGATGGTGGTGCTGGTGGTGCTGGTGGTGCTGATGATGATTATGTTGATGGTAATGGTGATTAACGGTGGTGGTGGTGTGATAATGATGGTGGTGGTGTTGGTGGTGCTGATGATGATGTTGACGATGGTGGTGGTAATTGTAATTAACGGTGGTGGTGGTGATAATGATGGTGGTGATGGTAATTGTAATTAACGGTGGTGGTGGTGGTGTGATGATGTTGGTGGTGATAATGATGATGGTGGTGATAATAATGATGATGGTGGTGGTGATAATGATGGTGGTGGTGGTGCTGATGATGATGTTGACGATGGTGGTGGTTGTAATCGTGGTGGTGGTAGTGCTGCTGCTGCTGCTGATGATGATGGTAATTGTGATGGTAACGGTGGTGGTTGTGTCAGGGAAGGGGTGTGTGATGAAAAAGAAGGAGATAAAGATGGTAGTGGTGATAGTGGAAATGATAACAGTAATAGTGACTATGATAGTTGTGGTAGTGATGATGATGGTGGTGATAATGATATTGATGATTAAAATGGTGATGAGCAAGTGTACTGCCCAGTTGTTGTGATGGTAGTAAGTTAGAGTGATAATGGTGCTGCCAGTAAATAAGTACAATAGACTGATATTAAAAATCAGAGGAATAAAGAGAATCAATAGTAATTTTTCTTGGCTGCAGTCAAGATGGGAGGGTGGTAGTGATATTAAGACGTGAATCAAAGTTAAAGGATGCCAAGATTGATGATAATGATGGAAATGCAAACCCTACCACCATCCTATCCTGAATTAAGAAGAGTAGATTGTGATGTCGATGAAGGAGCAGAGAGTAGGAAATAACAATATCTCAGATTGCGGCAACAATGTATGATTTTCCACAAGAGCATAAGATGATGGTTTAGTTAGAATGATAGCGGTGTGTTACGATGCAGTCCCTGTGAAAATTTCTAGAATATCTTTCTTCCAACAACCTCCTACCCCATTTTTCTTTGCAGATACACTAACAGCCACCCAGCATGATGAGCAGTCGCAATTTGAAAAGTTCTCTTACACGGATGATGTCCCCCTGCAAAAATGAGCCAAGCAACCCCATCTCTCTCCATCTCCCTTTCTCCTTCTGTTTCGCTTCGAAGTCCTCGATCACCCGACCTATCCACCCATTGACAATCATCAAAACATTTCATCGCCTATGTCGGCTTGCTCTGAGCGTCTTGTGGTAATGGCTTTAGCGACCAGGTTTGTCGTTGGAATAACTGTGTCACAATGCATGATGACCATTCTAGAAACAAGTTATCACAGCTACTTTGTGCTCCAGAGGGGTAGGCAGTTCCTGCAGGGGAACCCAATCCCTTATAAGAAATGCGCAAGCTGAATCGTTTTCGGGTACCGGTTCTGATCTCCCAATATATTATTTGCTGTTCCTCATCACTTGCAGCTTCAAGCTTATCATTGAATCATCGGACTACTCTACATGGAGTGATGAGTCTTTGTGAATCTGACTTGTGATAGCATTCAAACAATCATCTCTTCATATGATGCAGTTGACCTCTGACCTCTGATGTACTGAAGAAGAGGAGGGGTTTCCATAGCAACTGAGCATGATTATTTGTCACACTTCATACAATGCCAACATACAGGGGGAAACAATGGAGAAAGAAAGCAATGCTTGTGAGTTACGATAAACTTCAAGGAACATTTGTGCTGCTTATTTTGTGACTGCCAAAAAGAAGAAGAAAAAAAAGAAAAAGAAAGGAAGACGTGTAAATTTATTTTACATTGCATCAATGGAATAGCACAAGTTCAATTGTAATGTCACTTTAGAAGATGGTCTTGTTATTGATGAAAGACATTTTTTGTTCCTTTAAAAGGCTCTATGACTAAGAAAGATATGTTCAGTGTATTGACTTTATATTGGAGAAAGCTATCGACTAAAACTGTAAAATTTTGGATGTAATTTTCTTTGTTTTTAGTCATTTGTACAAAGAAATATTCAAAGCAAATTTCTGTAGTCTGGATTTGCTTGTGTTGAAAACATGTGTACATGGACGATGTTAAAAGTTTAACGTCAACAATTTTACTACAAAAAGGTATACTTGGGATGAATTATATTAAGAGATACTAAAAGTGTATTCGTTTTTTTTTGTGGAATGTACAGTATATGTCAAAAAAATAGAAAGTATATATGCACAGGAAAAACTAAATATCACAAAGCTTTTAAAGTCTGTAGCATGAACAATGCTGTCATAGTCTTTTATCATTTATTCCTCTTTGACAATTGGGGTTTCAGGTAATAGTTGCAAAAGTAGAAAATTTGTTTTATATTCTGCAAGTGAAATATTTGCATCTGTGTGAGTGAGAAGGAGCTGTTATCTTTCAAAAGGAAAAGGTATAAAACAGAGGAAAGTGTTGTCATGATTCAGTCAGGGAATGCCATTAATAATTGTCATTAATAAATCTATTCTGGAATAGAAAGTGATTGGTTACAAGTGTATTTCTGCAGTAGCATGTTTTTACAAAAATTAATCATTTCACTAAATCATGTAATTTCATTTTTTTATGAATTGATTTGGTCTTTTCTCTTACTCACCGAATCACCAGTTTGCTAACCACTCGTAAGTAGGACCGTTGGAAGGGGTCAAAACATATGTGAGGTAGGAAAGATGATAGTTGGCCCCAAATCGGTTAACTGATTGTAGTTTGGATTGTACCAGATTGCAAATTCAATTCAATGATAGATCTGCAGTAGTAACGAGTTAGGATAAGTCTCCAGTTTGTTGTCCTCATATATATTTACGACAGAAGCATGGAGACTAGCTACAAAACTTTTCTCAATTTTCATTGCAATTATCTCTTTATGCCGAGAACTATGAATAGAAAATTATCACTTGAAAACTTCAAATATCTTCAAAATCATTGTCCCCCCTGCCCCCCAAATCAAAAACATTTTTTTTTTTTGGGGGGGGGGGGTCAAAGTTGTTCCATTCTTGTACTTTTATTTAAGTAAAGAAAATGATCTCTTGAAATCTTAAAAATCATTGTTCTCTCATTTAACAATGGGCATGTATTGTCATGTTAGTTCTATTTTCCAACTTTCATTTGATGATTATAGTGTACCAATCAACTAGAATGAAAAAAATTGTTTGTAGGAAGAATGTATTTTATGGGCTAACAGATTAACTCACAGAGTTTGAGATTAGGAGCAAAATGTTGTGTTTGAAATATGTCAAATGTTGCAGGAATCATTATTCATCATGCAGCTTTGTGATTGAATTCCCTTTCGAAGAGTTATCATGACTAAGTTCTTTTGCAAATTTTTGTGTTAGTAAAATGATCACGTAAGAAGATTTCATTGACAGTTAAGCATTCTTTCGATTCAATTGAATTTTGTTTTGTCATCATTTATGAATATCAGTCCTCTCTCTTCTTCAACTAACTTGGTGTTCATTATTTTTTCTTAACCTTCTGCCAAAGGTAATCCAAATATTTTGTATCCATATTGTAATACTGGCTTGAATGTATACTGTAGCAAACTGCCCTTGATTGTAGTCGTAAGATTTTCCCATTTTTTTCTTCTTTTTTGGTAGAGAATGTATTGAACCAAGAACACTCTTAAAGTAGACATTCATTTAAATCTAAAAAGTATGGCCATAATTTATCTCTAGAAACTAATAATTATTTGCAGATGACAATCGTAGAAAGTTTAGGTCAACTACATATCGGGCAATCAAAAAATGAACGTAATTAAAGGCACCCCTCGGGATCTGGGATATATGAACGATGACGTCACATCAGGGACCAATCCTGCGTAAGCACACAACCTCCTATAACTAATGAACATATTTTCAGTGCAATTATTTCTCAATTTTAAGAGTCTGATTCTTTTTAAACATAAACGTATTTAGCACCATTTTAAAAGGAAAGTGATGCTGATTCTGATAATTATAATCCTTTGCTTAGAAACATAAAGGATTAATTTAAAAAAAACACTGAAATATCAGCCCACTTCCAAATTGAAAAGCACTGAAAATGTGTGCATTGCTATGGGACATCCTCTGCTTATGCTAATTCAGTCCCTTGTGTGACATCACAAATCTTGGCAGTGCATGGAATGCTTAACCAGTGCCAAAAGGGGGCGGTATTTTACAGTTTAAAAAATTGACAATCGTTACTTTGAATGTTTCCAATCTTGAATTTGTGTAACCTTGTTTAATCTACCCTTCTCTTACGTAATGATACAAATTAATTCAGTATTTCAAATCAATGAACCTCTACTTTAAAGGGGTACATTTCCTAGCTTTTTTTATGCTTGTTTCTTTCTTTTTCATTAGTTCCTCATGAGTAGATGACAAGTTCACATACCAAGTTATATCTGCAAATATGGAGAAGGCATGCATAGCTGAAGAAGAAAAAAAAATAAGAGAGTGTACAGGCATGGAGAAGATGTATAAATATAAATAAAAAGAAAGAAAAAGTTATGTAATATTGTGCTGTATGTGGCTCTTGGTGTATCTCGGATGTGTATTTTGTGCATCTTATAATGTTCAATAAAAATTGAATGAACCAACATATTATTCTCATGTGTGCTCATTTTTGTTTAAAGTCTTTAATAGCAAATTCTAATTACTAGAAAGGCAGTATATGATTATAGTTTATTCAGGGTCATTGAAATTTGTCCTTTTCTTTTTGCTTCTACTAATTCTAATTACTAGAAGGGTAATATATGATTATAGTTTATTCAGGGTCATTTAATTTTGCCCTTTCCTTTTTGCTTCTACCTTCAGAGTTTAAAATAATTGTTTATTTAAAATTGGTAGTTTTATTATTTCCTGAGTGTGGTCGAATTTGTGATAAATCCTTTTGCATCTTTGCCTATTTGTAATTCAAATATCTGCTGATAAATATGCTAGAAGTTTGAGCAGTGTTGATGAGGAAATAGGCCATTTTCGTAATGTAATCAAATTTAATGCAACTATCTTTGTTGAGTGCCATGTTACAAATTGTTTCATTCATCTGGTCCAAATAACTGGATTTCAATAGTCATAATGCACATTGCATACATTCCATGTTGTTAGGTAGTATAAGCAATGGCGTTTGTCCTACCAAGTACCAACAATTGATGTATGCAATTCGAATTCTGACTGTAGAAATACAATTATTTGTAACAGGTGAATGAAATAATTTGTAACAGCAATGTAATGTCACTTATCAAAGATTTGCATTAAATTTGATTACATTACAACAATGGTATATTGCAGAGGATACAGTATGATCATATAACCTTTCACTCTATGTGTTTGTGTGTGCGTGCCTGCGTATGTGTAGTAGGTTTGTGCAGACGTGTCCAGATGCAAAACAACTGAACTGTATCTTATTTCTAAGATTGATTTGTATTGTTTGAAATCAATAAGAAAAACTATTGAAAAAAAAGGGGGAAATCAATCAGATATGAGTGTTTCCGTCTGGGGACCGACGGGCCGAGTTCAGTTTCGAACCGGGGTCGCCTGAGCCAGGGGCAGGGTGTAGCCAGAGAGCTGACCCAGTGGATCAGATCTCGAAACTCACTAGGAGGATGTAAGTTTATGAAGATGAGATATCTCATTCGTTGCACAGTTAGTTAAAAAAATCCTCCGTTTCTACTACTCAAACAACATGCATATTCATTAGCATACGTTTGCGAGTATCTGAAGTCACGTGACGACCAATGACAAAACATATTCAAATAGCTTCTGATGAATATGGATGTATTTACGCTTGAAAAGTGGAGCGTTTTACTAACTGTGAAACAAAAATGATATCTAAAGTATATTTTTAGAACATGCATCAGAGTTAGTCTAATGTTTAGTCAGTTCTCTGTCTTCGCCTACAAACTTGCTTAGGCGACCCCGGCTTAAAACCGAGTCACGTCCTTCGGATGGTTGACGTTAAAGGTCGGTCCCCAGACGGAAATAATCATATCTGGTTAATACACGTCTGTAGAAATCCAATTCGGACATGGGATGGTTATCATACAATTGTAAAAGGTCGGCTCTTCCTGCTTTCGATTACTTCGTTTATTCTTCATTACTTACTATCAAAATCGAAAATGTTTGAAAAAATCTGAGACAATATTAACTTTGGGAATATCAAAATTGGAAATGTTTGAAAATATCAGAGAAAATATTAACTACCGTATATGGGTAATTGCTGTAGACCAACCCTCCCACCGGTTTACAATTTTTGGGTTATATATAGTTTTCATATCATTTAAGTTTCACAGTTACTACATATTCCCACCTCTTCTAATGGGCATGCACATTTATTCACAGATATTTGCATGTACCTCTAGCCATGTCCAATCATAAGTAAGAAAGAACAATGATGAGGGATATACTGAACAGCAACGTCCAATGATAGAAGATATTCAAATACAATTTGATGAATATGCAGCATTTACAAACCAGGGTTAGAGGTTTCACTAACTGTGCAACAAAAATGATATCTATAATACTAATCTAGTCAAAATAGCCAGTTGGTGGGTGGGGTGGCTTTGCAGAGATTTGAGAAGGATGATTCTTTCCAAACTATTTTTGGTTTGACTATCAACATTTGAAATGTTTGAAAAAATCTGAGACAATATTAACTTTGGGAATATAAAAAATGGAAATGTTTGAAAATATCTGAGAAGATAATAACTACCGTATATGGGTAATTGCTGTAGACCAACCCTCCCACCGGTTTACAATTTTTGGGTTATATATAGTTTTCATATCATTTAAGTTTCACAGTTACTACATATTCCCACCTCTTCTAATGGGCATGCACATTTATTCACAGATATTTGCATGTACCTCTAGCCATGTCCAATCATAAGTAAGAAAGAACAATGATGAGGAATATACTGAACAGCAACGTCCAATGATAGAAGATATTCAAATACAATTTGATGAATATGCAGCATTTACAAACCAGGGTTAGAGGTTTCACTAACTGTGCAACAAAAATGGTATCTATAATACTAATCTAGTCAAAATAGCCAGTTGGTGGGTGGGGTGGCTTTGCAGAGATTTGAGAAGGATAATTCTTTCCAAACTATTTTTGGTTTGACTATTATATCTATTCTGTATCTTTGAGATGTTTATCCTAATGGTAAATGTTTGAAAATCTCTGAGAAAGTAAAATGTATCAAAGACAAAAGATATGTCTTAATCAGGATCTATCAAAATTTAAACATAGGTTCGGATTAATTTTTTTATCATGTCTGGGCAGCACGAGTCGCCCCTCGCTATCAGATGTTTGTCGCTCTGTCGGTGATTTGGAGACAAAGATGACCTCATAATTATTACAGCGAAGATGAATTGCACCACCCCCTCCCTATCACATGTTTACTGTCATTATGTGATGGGTGAGATGACACTCTATTCATCAGTGATAATCAAGTGTGTTACCAAATATGAAAACATGATTAACGAATATCAGTGAAGGATTTCATTTTATAGTTTAGTTTTCACATTTGTTTCACAGTTACTAAAACATGTCTCACCTCTTTTTTCAATCATGCATATTCATTAGCAAACATTTGCATGAAGTGATCACTATGCACGACCTCGGATGCCTCATAATGGTGGTACTGAAAGGTCTTTAAATACTTGATGAATATGCATATGTATAAGAAGAAGAGGTGGGAATTTCATTAAAAAACGGTGAATAAACGTGGTATCTTAGCCATATTGCATTGTTTTTGTTGGAAGAAAATGGGGGGGGGGGTTCTGTATATTTTAGAAGTAGAAACAACGTGTGCAATTACAGAAGAACTCAACATAATTCTTAATAACTGTCAAAACTAAGATTTAATTATTGTACAGTCAATCACAAAATAAAATATTGTATTGTACATTGTCGGTTTTGAAGTGGTCTAGCGCCATCTTTCAAGAAATACATTATAGTGGATCAATGATCGTGATGAATTGTACATTGCCGGTTTTGAAGTGGTCTAGCGCCATCTTTCAAGAAATACATTATAGAATGAAACAATTTAATACAGTACTTCTACTCGCTCCCTCTCTGTCTCTCTCTCTCTCTAATTACTCTTCATTATTTTATTTTTGTTCTCTCTCTTTTGAATACCCTTCTCCCCTCCGGTCTTTCTCTTTCACCGTCTCTCCGTCTCTCTCTCATATCATCTCACATTATCTCATATTATACAGATAAAGACACAATAGCCAAATCTGGAATCTTTTGAATGTGTTTTTGACTGTAATGTTTTCAACTGAAGATGGCGCTATACCTCTTAAAACATGTCGTGATCTCTTAAGTTGCTACTGACAACTTCAAAAATTAGTTTGAATTTTGTACGACCAGACATTTGTTTAAATGCTGAGAATTGCCAGATAAAGTGTTTGGGTTTTTATTGCCATCCTTTTTATTCTTCAAACTTGTTTTGAGCACGATAGTGTTTAAAATTGGCCTGGCGCCATCATCAGTCAGAATTCTTACACTAAATCTATAGTAAATCTATCAAAAGTGAAACAAAATTGCCCCGTTTATTTTATTATTTCCCTTTTTTTCTTCATTTTACAGATATTTGCCCTCTCTCTCTTTCTCTGTTCTCTATAAAAAAAAAATTTAAAATCAGTTTATCTTTATTTTTAACAAGGTAATATCTCGGATTCATTCGTCTGTACATTGTAACACAATTATCAATCAATCAATCAATACAATCTAGCACCAAAACATAATAAAGAGGTTACAAGAAAAGAGAATGGCTCATTGTGATTCATTTTGTCATTGTTATATTTTTGGAAATGCTCATTCCATAATAATCATCATTACCATCATTGCAATTACAATTCCAAATTTTCTTTCAATCATTTGATTATATCATTTAATTTCAGTTCAAATATGAAATGTAATCTACTTTCTTCATACAACTTTTTACCTATATATTTACATAGTACAAGCATATTTTGCAAACTTATCAATCTTAATGAGTGTATCACGTTAAACGTTACAGGAAAAACGAGAAAGAAACACATTAGTGGGTGTTAACTCACTAATGTGAATATGTTCAATTGATTACTATTTGCAAAGCTAAATTATTGATTTATTCATTTACTTTTGGTTTCGAAAAAATGGTAGATAAAGGTCTCAAGGACGACCAATAATATTCTTTTAAAGCGATTTTTTTTTCTTCACATAATTATATATATATTCAGTCTCAAACATTTGAGTCATGCCTTAGTCGATCAATTTATTTGTAGTCTGGATCTGTTGATCATATCCGCGATTTTGTAATATCCGCCCATATTTTTTACACCGGATGAACACTAATTTGTTTATCAACACCGAAATTGAAAAGCTCCCAAGAATGTTTATGCAACACGAGCCGATAATTTTACACCGAGTGAACACCTCTTTTACTTGACACCAAATACTGGAACTTGGTTAGGTCCTCCGTAGAATTTTTAATGGAGCACACGGCCTTTCTTCGCGTAGATGTTCTCTCGGTGTATCTGACAAAGAGCACACATGTGGCACAAACATCCCACCAGACAATCTTGACAAATGGAACCCTGGAAAGGAAGAAGGAA